AACCTGATGAAGACACAAACTCATCCTAATCTTGGATGGCCTGAGGGTGAATGCATTTTAATTTTTGGCTGAACTATTGAAGAGAACAGGATTCTTACTGTCTCCTCCCTCCTGGTAATGCTCAAACACCGGTAGAGTAACTCCTGAGAACAAACACAGGTGACACTCATGATGAGGTGAGCAACTACAGAAGAAATCTGCCAGTTTTGTTGTTACTAAAAATGATTTAGCTAGCGAACCTGCAACATTGTCCTTTTTTGCTCTGACCTTCACCTGGGCCTTGTTCACGTTCTGAATGACCGTAGTACTTGATGGGACAGAATTCAAACACATCGAGTGAGATCTGCTATCCGATTCTTCCCGTGATGCATCATATCTATGAAAAACTGAACTACCTGAAGTCACCAGCAGCAAATTTGGCCTCAGCTAATGAAAAGGCGGCTTCTCTCATCACCTCTCCCATCAGCGTCTTAGTCTGAAAAATTAAAAGTCACATCGTTGTTAAAAAGACACAAAAAAGTACTTTGAAAATAATATGAAATAAAAAAATAAGCGACAAACAAAGTCAACATGTCTAACAAATAAACATGTCTAAAATAAAAGCATAGGTATGGTGTTAAACCTCAATGATTTTTCGAAGAATCTGCCGAAATCGCATGGACAGAGCATCAGCTTTCTTCTTCAGCAAATTCCGGCCAGTTTGAGCTCCTTTCAGTCGAGCTTTCATAATGGTCTGAGCCCTGATGCAACACACAATAACACATAACAAACCAACAGCAATAAACGTACACAGGCCATGAATATAAAGGGAGATTTATGACTATTTAATAATGCAATTCTCATATAGTTACATTTTTGGTCATACTGACTATGCATATGTACTTTAGCATATATTTTATTATTCTAATGTGATTATTTATTGTTCTTATAGGTTACAACCACTATATACACTATGTATTTCTGTTCAGTATCTCTCAGTTCTGGTCAGTAGTAGTAGAGGGCTCACATGACTGTGAATAATATCACTTCCTCTTCTGAGTCCACTTAAAATGACTGCAAGATTTAGTTTCAAAACACATCTTGAATATTGTCATCCATCATATCGAGTTATACATTTAATACTCTACAGACGAAATGTAGCTGCGTAATAATATATTGACAACATTGGCAAATATGATATGCGTGTTTATATATTTAATTTGCTTTGGATAAAAGCGTCTGATAAATGACTAATATTGTCAAAAACATAAAATACATCATATATTTAAAATGCGTACATCTACAATTCAGCTACATCAAAACACAATATATATACAAATATTAAAGATATTTTATTAACTATTTGTGTAAAACAATGTACATTTAGCATAATGCAGAAGCTTTCTATGACTCTTTATCTCTGATCAAGTCATAAAAGCTAGAGGATGCACGACTCCGGCGCATTCAGTGTCATCTTAGTTCGTGCTTTGAGATTGTAACTGCTTTCTAAAAGCATAAACTGCTCAAATATGTTTATAGCAAATGCTGTCACTCATGCACGATTGAAAATAATGAATCTGTTTTGGCCGAATACTCACATTCTAGAGGGGAAAACGTCGATTCGATCTTTTCCGGACATCTTTCGTCTTTATTGAAACGCTGTATCAAACTACTGAGACGCTTTGCTGTTGAAATCGTCGAATAAATCGTTTAAATATAGTGCGAGTTTATTTAATATCACGATTAAATGACTATAACACCATCGCTGTGACCCTAGCTACAGGACGCAGGATTTGATCAGCTGACTGGAGGTCATGTGATTCCTTCTGAACGCAGCGATTGGTCAGCGTCAATTCCGTACGTGGTGGGATTCACATTTCAAAATAACGGTCAACAGTAATGACGGTAAAGCAATTTAGTTCGGTTTCCCTCCAAATAATTTGCACTTATTTAATTGATTTCGCTTGGTGTTGAATTTATTTATTTTTATTTATTATTTTTATTTTTTTGGCTTGAAGAACTTTTTGACGGTGTTTGGTCTGCTAACGGTACATCCGTGTGTACATCGGAGGATATAAGATGATTTTTATTTTATTTTTTAAAACGGAACGACCGTAAGAAACAATACGTATTCTTTATTCTTTATATCTAATCTGTTTTATAGTTAAAATCTCCTCCTAAAAATATGCATAAGTGACTTTTATTTTGAAGTGTGGTTGACAGCGTTCTTGAAGCAGCATCCCTGTTGTGTTCACTGGTCGGGGCAACTAACGCTCGCAGAAAACGACCGTTTCTAGAGATTTAAAGGGTTTAAAGTGAGCCGATTGTGACACCTGTCAGGTGGGACTGAGTTCACTTTACGTCCGTGCTAGTTTGGCTCATGTTGAGCTGGTTTTGGGGATGATATGAGGGTTTTAATGGCTGCTGTCAAACGACATGTACCGCACGCGCGCATGTACTCTGCACTGATGAACAGATCAATAAATAGATGAATAGATGCCCGAACAGATAGATAGATAATGTACTTTTTGATATCTTCAGCGAAATTAATATTTATACATTGTGTAGTTTATGTGAACAGTGCAACATTCATCAGAAAATTACACGTTATGCAATATACAAGATATCAAAAAAAAATAAAAAATAATAATAATACACTGTTTACAATATACAGAAAACTGTAGACCTGGAAAAATTACTTGTGATGTTTTTATCAGCTGTTTGGACTCTCGTTCTGACGGCACCCATTCACTACAGAGCATCCATTGATGAGACACTGATGCAATGCTACATTTCTCCAAATCTGATGAAGACACAAACTCATCCTAATCTTGGATGGCCTGAGGGTGAATGCATTTTAATTTTTGGCTGAACTATTGAAGAGAACAGGATTCTTACTGTCTCCTCCCTCCTGGTAATGCTCAAACACCGGTAGAGTAACTCCTGAGAACAAACACAGGTGACACTCATGATGAGGTGAGCAACTACAGAAGAAATCTGCCAGTTTTGTTGTTACTAAAAATGATTTAGCTAGCGAACCTGCAACATTGTCCTTTTTTGCTCTGACCTTCACCTGGGCCTTGTTCACGTTCTGAATGACCGTAGTACTTGATGGGACAGAATTCAAACACATCGAGTGAGATCTGCTATCCGATTCTTCCCGTGATGCATCATATCTATGAAAAACTGAACTACCTGAAGTCACCAGCAGCAAATTTGGCCTCAGCTAATGAAAAGGCGGCTTCTCTCATCACCTCTCCCATCAGCGTCTTAGTCTGAAAAATTAAAAGTCACATCGTTGTTAAAAAGACACAAAAAAGTACTTTGAAAATAATATGAAATAAAAAAATAAGCGACAAACAAAGTCAACATGTCTAACAAATAAACATGTCTAAAATAAAAGCATAGGTATGGTGTTAAACCTCAATGATTTTTCGAAGAATCTGCCGAAATCGCATGGACAGAGCATCAGCTTTCTTCTTCAGCAAATTCCGGCCAGTTTGAGCTCCTTTCAGTCGAGCTTTCATAATGGTCTGAGCCCTGATGCAACACACAATAACACATAACAAACCAACAGCAATAAACGTACACAGGCCATGAATATAAAGGGAGATTTATGACTATTTAATAATGCAATTCTCATATAGTTACATTTTTGGTCATACTGACTATGCATATGTACTTTAGCATATATTTTATTATTCTAATGTGATTATTTATTGTTCTTATAGGTTACAACCACTATATACACTATGTATTTCTGTTCAGTATCTCTCAGTTCTGGTCAGTAGACTGCTGGGCAGTAAAGGGCTCACATGACTGTGAATAATATCACTTCCTCTTCTGAGTCCACTTAAAATGACTGCAAGATTTAGTTTCAAAACACATCTTGAATATTATCATCCATCATATCGAGTTATACATTTAATACTCTACAGACGAAATGTAGCTGCGTAATAATATATTGACAACATTGGCAAATATGATATGCGTGTTTATATATTTAATTTGCTTTGGATAAAAGCGTCTGATAAATGACTAATATTGTCAAAAACATAAAATACATCATATATTTAAAATGCGTACATCTACAATTCAGCTACATCAAAACACAATATATATACAAATATTAAAGATATTTTATTAACTATTTGTGTAAAACAATGTACATTTAGCATAATGCAGAAGCTTTCTATGACTCTTTATCTCTGATCAAGTCATAAAAGCTAGAGGATGCACGACTCCGGCGCATTCAGTGTCATCTTAGTTCGTGCTTTGAGATTGTAACTGCTTTCTAAAAGCATAAACTGCTCAAATATGTTTATAGCAAATGCTGTCACTCATGCACGATTGAAAATAATGAATCTGTTTTGGCCGAATACTCACATTCTAGAGGGGAAAACGTCGATTCGATCTTTTCCGGACATCTTTCGTCTTTATTGAAACGCTGTATCAAACTACTGAGACGCTTTGCTGTTGAAATCGTCGAATAAATCGTTTAAATATAGTGCGAGTTTATTTAATATCACGATTAAATGACTATAACACCATCGCTGTGACCCTAGCTACAGGACGCAGGATTTGATCAGCTGACTGGAGGTCATGTGATTCCTTCTGAACGCAGCGATTGGTCAGCGTCAATTCCGTACGTGGTGGGATTCACATTTCAAAATAACGGTCAACAGTAATGACGGTAAAGCAATTTAGTTCGGTTTCCCTCCAAATAATTTGCACTTATTTAATTGATTTCGCTTGGTGTTGAATTTATTTATTTTTATTTATTATTTTTATTTTTATTTTTTTGGCTTGAAGAACTTTTTGACGGTGTTTGGTCTGCTAACGGTACATCCGTGTGTACATCGGAGGATATAAGATGATTTTTATTTTATTTTTTAAAACGGAACGACCGTAAGAAACAATACGTATTCTTTATTCTTTATATCTAATCTGTTTTATAGTTAAAATCTCCTCCTAAAAATATGCATAAGTGACTTTTATTTTGAAGTGTGGTTGACAGCGTTCTTGAAGCAGCATCCCTGTTGTGTTCACTGGTCGGGGCAACTAACGCTCGCAGAAAACGACCGTTTCTAGAGATTTAAAGGGTTTAAAGTGAGCCGATTGTGACACCTGTCAGGTGGGACTGAGTTCACTTTACGTCCGTGCTAGTTTGGCTCATGTTGAGCTGGTTTTGGGGATGATATGAGGGTTTTAATGGCTGCTGTCAAACGACATGTACCGCACGCGCGCATGTACTCTGCACTGATGAACAGATCAATAAATAGATGAATAGATGCCCGAACAGATAGATAGATAATGTACTTTTTGATATCTTCAGCGAAATTAATATTTATACATTGTGTAGTTTATGTGAACAGTGCAACATTCATCAGAAAATTACACGTTATGCAATATACAAGATATCAAAAAAAAATAAAAAATAATAATAATACACTGTTTACAATATACAGAAAACTGTAGACCTGGAAAAAAAAAGTCTGGGGAAAATTAAATAAATAAATAATAGGCATAAGATTAAAATAAATAATACAATGATATTGAGATGAAAATAATAATCACATTTTTAAAATACAAATAATACAACTGATTAAAATGTAAAAAAACAAATACAAATATATAACGTATAAATGATACATTTAATAAATATGTTGAAATAAAATAACGCACAGTATTGTACTATATTGAGCAGTGTTATTCTAACGTAATTATTTGTATTATTATTTTAAAGAAGTTTTTATTTTTGTTTATATTTTATTTATTATTTAGTATATTTGTTGTGTGTTTTGTTAGTTTTAGTAGTTTGTTTTATATATATATATATATAGTTATTTTTTGTTATTTTAATAGTGAGTAGCAAAGATATTTTTTGAATTATTTAAAAAAAAAAACTTGATACAAACTAAATATTTTCTAAGTCATATTTAGAATATAAATGTAATTTTTACAGTATAAATTGGTTCTTTATACATGAAAACATATAGCTGCCCTCACATCAGAATGATCGTACTTGGGTTTGTGTGGCATCTAAAAGATTTACTTTTTTATTATTATTTTTTTATTATTAAAAAAAACAAACAAAGTTTAGCTTTCTACAAACCTTATTCTATCTACTTGTTTTTCTTTGTGTGTGTGTGTATGTGTGTGTGTGTGTGTGTGTATGTGTGTGTGTACAATATATATATATACACACCTTGCTACGTGTACTGTGTTAGGCTAACCAAGACTTGTCATTTGCACTTATATATTGTTGCTCTTTTGTTAGTTTTAACTGCTTTTATTGTCCTCATTTGTAAGTCGCTTTGGATAAAAGCATCTGCTAAATGACTAAATAAAAAAAAAAAAAATAATAAAAAAAGATTGAAAAGCATTTGATTACGTATCTAATAGGACTAATGGAAAAAAAATCAGATGTCAGATCTGAAAAAGATGAATGCTGTTAGTCTTGTGCTCAATAAAGAATTAGTTGAAATAAAATAACGCACAGTATTGTACTATATTGAGCAGTGTTATTCTAACGTAATTATTTGTATTATTATTTTAAAGAAGTTTTTATTTTTGTTTATATTTTATTTATTATTTAGTATATTTGTTGTGTGTTTTGTTAGTTTTAGTAGTTTGTTTTATATATATATATATATAGTTATTTTTTGTTATTTTAATAGTGAGTAGCAAAGATATTTTTTGAATTATTTAAAAAAAAAAACTTGATACAAACTAAATATTTTCTAAGTCATATTTAGAATATAAATGTAATTTTTACAGTATAAATTGGTTCTTTATACATGAAAACATATAGCTGCCCTCACATCAGAATGATCGTACTTGGGTTTGTGTGGCATCTAAAAGATTTACTTTTTTATTATTATTTTTTTATTATTAAAAAAAACAAACAAAGTTTAGCTTTCTATTTTTTCTATTCTATCTACTTGTTTTTCTTTGTGTGTGTGTGTATGTGTGTGTGTGTGTGTGTGTATGTGTGTGTGTGTGTGTGTGTATGTGTGTGTGTGTGTGTGTGTATGTGTGTGTGTGTGTGTGTGTATGTGTGTGTGTGTGTGTGTGTATGTGTGTGTGTGTGTGTACTTGTTTTTCTTTGTGTGTGTGTGTATGTGTGTGTGTGTGTGTGTGTATGTGTGTGTGTACAATATATATATATATACACACCTTGCTACGTGTACTGTGTTAGGCTAACCAAGACTTGTCATTTGCACTTATATATTGTTGCTCTTTTGTTAGTTTTGACTGCTTTTATTGTCCTCATTTGTAAGTCGCTTTGGATAAAAGCATCTGCTAAATGACTAAATAAAAAATAAATAAATAATAAAAAAAGATTGAAAAGCATTTGATTACGTATCTAATAGGACTAATGGAAAAAAAATCAGATGTCAGATCTGAAAAAGATGAATGCTGTTAGTCTTGTGCTAAATAAAGAATTACTAGTCGTCACCTGCATTGGTTTGATATGGTCTCATTGTATATTTTGAACAAGCTTTTGTCTTCAAAGTCACATAAAAGACCAAAAAAAAGTACATTTCAAAAACCTGAAATTTAAAAAAAATTGTTATTTTGAAAATAATTTGAAATTAAATCAATAAAAATAATTTACAAAAAAACAAATATATATGCAAGTCAAGACATAAAGTAAATAAAAGCGTAGGACTGATGTTGTGCATGTATTGTGTTGCGTAGAGATGCCGGGCCTCAGCTGTAGGTTTTATCAGCACCGCTTCCCCGAGGTGGAGGATGTGGTGATGGTGAACGTGCGCTCCATCGCTGAGATGGGTGCGTATGTCAGTCTGCTGGAGTACAACAACATCGAGGGCATGATCCTGCTGAGCGAACTGTCCCGCAGACGCATCCGCTCCATCAACAAACTCATCCGCATCGGACGCAACGAATGTGTGGTGGTCATCAGAGTGGACAAAGAGAAGGGTGAGCATCAATGCAGAGACAGAGAGAGAGAGAGAGAGAGAGAGGTTCAGTCAGGGTCAGAATCAGACATTCACTTCTCCATTCAGGAATTTGTTGATTTTATCATTACTTTATTAATTGTATCTGTGTTGTCTTTAATGTCAGATACCATTCACTTAAATCGATCAGAACTCTTTAAACTGTTACCAATAACAACAAACTTCAAAAACAATACATACATACACTACCATTCAAACATTTTAAATAAGATTTTTTATTTATGCATTTATTTTTTGAGAAAGGAATTAATTCTTTTATTCAGCAAGGATGCATTAAATGGATCAAAAGTGACGGTAAAGACATTTATGTTACAACATTTTCTATTTCAGATAAATGCTGTTCTTTTGTAAACTTTCTATTCATCTGTGAATCCTGAAAACTAAAATGTGTCACGGTTTTCACCAAAAATAGTCACTGTTTTCAACATGATTATGTTGTCAAGTTTCAACATAATCAGAGATGTTTCTTGAGCAGCAAATCAGCATATTAACATGATTTCTGAAGATCGTATGACACTGAAGACTGGAGGAATGATGCTGAATATTCAGCTGCGCATCACAGGAATAAATTACATTTGACTATATATTCATATCAAAAACTGTTATTTTAAATTGTAATAATATTGCACAATATTACTTTGAAATATTCCAAACTCCAAACTTTTGTTTAAATATGATGTATATATATAACTTTGTAAAAAAAAAAGTCTCTCAGATCTATTGAGCACTTTTATGAAGCAGAGCTTTTCATAATTTTTTTAAATGTTTTTTTTCCTTTTGATTTTTCCTTATACTGTATCCTTTTTAAATGTATTTTAAGTTTCAGAGAACCAAAAACTATAGAATAATTACACAAATCAACTGTTTACAAATTCTGTTATATCAGTTATACTTTAAAAAAAAACACAAAACTCATATGGCTGCAATACATCATTATTATCGATTATGATGAGAGAATTTGTGAGCACACAGAATTCAGCCAGTGAACACACACACTCAACAAAACATTTTAAGCGCTGAAGACTTTAAATGCATCTGATTGGCTCGTTTTCAGTGCTGACCAATCTAAACAGTGCATTGGGATCAAAAGTGACGGTAAAGACATTTATGTTACAACATTTTCTATTTCAGATAAATGCTGTTCTTTTGTAAACTTTCTATTCATCTGTGAATCCTGAAAACTAAAATGTGTCACGGTTTTCACCAAAAATAGTCACTGTTTTCAACATGATTATGTTGTCAAGTTTCAACATAATCAGAGATGTTTCTTGAGCAGCAAATCAGCATATTAACATGATTTCTGAAGATCGTATGACACTGAAGACTGGAGGAATGATGCTGAATATTCAGCTGCGCATCACAGGAATAAATTACAGTTTAATATATATTCATATCAAAAACTGTTATTTTAAATTGTAATAATATTGCACAATATTACTTTGAAATATTCCAAACTTTTGTTTAAATATGATGTATATATATAACTTTGTAAAAAAAAAAGTCTCTCAGATCTATTGAGCACTTTTATGAAGCAGAGTTTTTCATAATTTTTTTAAATGTTTTTTTTCCTTTTGATTTTTCCTTATACTGTATCCTTTTTAAATGTATTTTAAGTTTCAGAGAACCAAAAGCTATAGAATAATTACACAAATCAACTGTTTACAAATTCTGTTATATCAGTTATACTTTAAAAAAAACACAAAACTCATATGGCTGCAATACATCATTATTATCGATTATGATGAGAGAATTTGTGAGCACACAGAATTCAGCCAGTGAACACACACACTCAACAAAACATTTTAAGCGCTGAAGACTTTAAATGCATCTGATTGGCTCGTTTTCAGTGCTGACCAATCTAAACAGTGCATTGTCATCGAAGGCATTTACAAAGGCATCGCTTCATTATAAATGAAGCCACCGTTCATTTCCAGCCCTGGTTTTACATTTGACCATTTTCATGTTTTTCTTCTTTAGGATACATTGATTTGTCCAAGAGAAGAGTGTCTCCGGAAGAAGCCATCAAGTGTGAGGATAAATTCACCAAATCTAAAACCGTGAGTATGCATATTGAAAATGGAAGTAAAAGGCAATGTTTTGTGGTTTGATGTTGTGGTTGTTGTGCTGCAGGTGTACAGTATTTTACGGCATGTGGCTGAAGTCTTGGAGTACACTAAAGACGAACAGCTGGAGAGTTTGTTCCAGCGAACCGCTTGGGTGTTTGACGAGAAATACAAGAAACCCGGTTACGGCGCCTATGACGTCTTCAAACAGGCCGTGTCGTGAGTGTTCAACACAGATGCAAACTCCTCAACTTTCACTGACAACTCACTTTTTTGAGATCAAAACAGGTCACCTGTAAGATTTGCTTAGATCCAATGAGAAAGTGTTTTTTACCTTGTGTCTTATAAGGGTAAATAAAGAACTGGGGCCGGTTGCAGACTGGTTATAACTTTTTTTGTTCAGTTATGAAAGATTGGTAGATTGGTCTTCTTTGTATTGGGAAAGTAAGACTGATAACCACTTGGGAATTGCTAGGAAGTTTTGTATAGTATTTTCTTTACCCTTTACTTCAAAAACTATGTCAAAAAAGGGTAATATTTCATGTATTTGAGGTCTGAGATGTGGGAACGGTGAAGAGAGAGTGTGTGTTGGTTGGTTGGTTAGTGGGTTGGGTGTGTGGGTGTGTGTGTGTGTGTGTGTGTGTGTGTGTGTGAGTGACTGTGTGTGTGAATGAGTGAGTGAGTGAGTGTGTGAGTGAGTGAGTGACTGACTGACTGACTAACTGACTGAGTGTGTGAGTGACTGAGTGAGTGACTGTGTGAATGAGTGTGTGAGTGACTGACTGAATGAGTGTGTGAGTGACTGAGTGACTGTGTGTGTGAATGAGTGTGTGTGTGTGAGTGAGTGACTGAGTGGGTGACTGTGTGTGTGAATGAGTGTGTGAGTGAGTGAGTGAGTGAGTGAGTGAGTGACTGACTGAGTGAGTGAGTGTGTGAGTGACTGAGTGAGTGAGTGTGAGTGAGTGACTGTGTGTGTGAATGAGTATGTGAGTGACTGACTGAGTGAGTAAGTGTGTGAGTGACTGTGTGTGAATGAGTGTGTGAGTGAGTGACTGACTGACTGAGTGAGTGAGTGTGTGTGTGTGTGTGAGTGAATGACTGTGTGTGTGAATGAGTGTGTGTGTGTGAGTGAGTGACTGAGTGATTGACTGTGTGTGTGAATGAGTGTGTGAGTGAGTGAGTGACTGACTGAGTGAGTGAGTGTGTGTGACTGACTGACTGAGTGAATGTGTGTGTGTGTGTGAGTGAGTGACTGACTGAATGAGTGTGTGAGTGACTGAGTGAGTGACTGTGTATGAATGAGTGTGTGAGTGTGTGAGTGAGTGAGTGACTGAGTGGGTGACTGTGTGTGAATGAGTGTGTGAGTGACTGACTGACTGAGTGTGAGTGTGTGAGTGAGTGACTGTGTGTGTGAATGAGTGTGTGAGTGACTGACTAAAAATAATATCTGGTGTCTGAATCATTTTTGGTTTGACTATATATACATGCATACAATTAATAATAAATATTAGTAAAATGTGACCCTGGACCACAAAACCAGTCATAAGGGTCAATTTTTTTAAATTGAGATGTATACCTCATCTGAAAGCTGAATAAATCAGCTTTCCATTGATGTATGGTTTGTTAGGATAGGACAATATTTGGCTGAGATACAACTATTTGAAAATCTGGAATCTGAGGGTGCAAAAAAATCTAAATATTGAGAAAATCATCTTTAAAGTTGTCCAAATGAAGTTCTTAGCAATGCATATTGCTAATCAAAAATTAAGTTTTAATATATTTACGGTAAGAAATTTACAAAATATCTTCATGGAACATGAATATCCTAATGATTTTTGGCATAAAAGAAAAATCGATAATTTTGACTCGTACAATGTTTTTTTTTGGCCATTGCTACAAATATCCCCCAGCGACTTAACACTGCTTTTGTGCTCCAGGGTCACATATTAGTACATAAAAATATTCAAATAAATACAAATTAATTAAAATAACAGTAATAATAATACAAATAAATAAAAAATGATAAAAAAAATTAAAAATGGATTAAAATGAATAAATACATGGTACCAATTATAAATAATAATTATATATATGTTTTCATTCTTTCAGATCCATTGAACACTCTGTGAAGCAATGCTTTCTTAAACTATATATCTTTTTCATTTAAAAAAAAATAAAAGCATAGTGCAGTACTATAGCGAGTAGAAAAAACCCAACGCAGTATATAAGCACATTTCAGGTATTTGCTCTGATTGTGTGTTTGTCTTCAGCCGAAAGTGGTGACGGACACAGACGAGACAGAACTGCAGCGGCAGCTGGAGCGTCTGGAGCGAGAGAACGCAGAGGTGGACGGCGATGACGACGCTGAGGAGATGGAGGCCAAAACAGACGAGTAGATCAACAAGTGCTTCAGATGCTACAAACATTCTAACGCTGATTTCTGAACCCTTCACTACTCTGATCAATCTTAACATTTGTGCTGATTCAGCGATCTGCTGGTGATTTTCTGTGAAGTAAAACCTGTTTCTCAATCTCAATCAAATTCTGGAAAGTTGTTGGAAGTTTTGTATTATTTAGCATCTGTATTTACATATTGACATGCTGCAAAGCTACTGTAAAATAATATTTGAAAGTATGTATTGTGAGTGAAAATTCTGCTCAAAATATCTAACAGAAAACATACTTGAGTGAAAGAAAGAAAGTACAACTTTACATTGTACTTAAGCGTTAAAAAATATAAAACGGCAAAAATAACCTTTTTTTAATATATTATAGTAAAATAATTTATATTAAAATGTTTTCAAATACAGTATTTAAATGTTTTGTCAGACAGACACAAGCAAGATTTGGTTGAGGAGAAAGGGGGAAAAAAACTAAATTTCTTTGGTTTGGTTGTTTTTCCCAGCAAATATTTATGTGAATATAGAACAGAATGTAAATAACTTGAATAATATTAATTGCTTGACAGCCCAATTATTATTAAATTACAGTTATTAGTGCATAATGTATATTAATGTTCATTTAAACTTATTTTACTTCAAAACATTGTAAGTACTGCAACCTTTTCCAGTTCTTTTCAGTGTAATAATTTACTAAAACTAAGACCATAAAAAAATTATTACTTGGAATAAATATTAACAAATAAAATTGTGTATGTATATATGTATATATTAGTGCTGTCAAACGATTAATCGCATCCAGAATAAAAGTTTTTGTTTATGTAATGTGTGTACTGTATATTTATGTATACACACACACACATACAGTATATATTTTGAAAATATTTACGTGTATTTATATAATTTATATTATATGTAAATATATTTCATATATAAAATATATATTTTTCTGAAATACATGCATGTGTATTTATATATACTTAAATATACACAGTACATATACATACGTAAACAAATCTTTTATTTTGGATGTGATTAATCATGACTAATTGACAGAACTAATATGTATATATGTGTGTATATACACCAGGGTTTCTGCAGACTTGAACACGTTAAATTTAAGACCTTTTTAATACCACCTTATAATAAATTTAAGACCTAAACCTGTAATGAAAATACACATTTTATTACATACATATGTAATATTTAATGTGTATAAATTAAAAAGAAAACAAAATATCAATACTGTAATAAATGGTATTTATTACTACGATATACAGTGAACTTTAAGTTCAAGTTAAATAAAAATGAGAACAGTTGCTTTAGCAATTAGTTGAAATAGTATGTATATATATATATAAGCAACTGTTCTCATTTTTATTTAACTTGAACTTAAACTGATATAAAATGTAATATAGAGACATTAAAAATAATGACAAAAGGAAATATATATATATATATATAAAAAAATCTGGCAAATATTGACCCGAATTACTTAAAGTACTACAAATGTTTCCAGTGCTTTTCAGGATTATTATGGTTTAATAAAACCATAATCTTTTCTCATTTATGATGAACTTGAACATAAAACTAATAAACATTAATAAAAAGTATATATATAGACATTAAAAAAAACTTCTAAATGCTACTTTATAATCCAAATCAAAATGGGAAATACAAAAAAAACAACAAAAAAAAACTATACCAAATAATGATTTCAGGTCAAAAGAAGTAATTTTCTTTGAAAACGTAAAATAAATGAATTCACTTGCGTAAAATACAAATAATTCCAAAATAAGTGCACTAATTAAGCACTTTACACCCTGAAAATAACCCATGGAAAGTTAATATTCAATATTAAATATTAATTTTACCGTTGCATTTGGTCTGTTGCAAAGAAACGTATGGACTGACGCACAGCTTCAAAGTTGAAATCAGGACACATTAAAAAGCACACAATGATTTTACTAAAAAAAGAAAAGAATCACTTTTATTCAAAACACATCCACTGATAAGTACAAAAACAAAGACGATCAATCGTTGTGATGTTAATCAGTTTAGCGAGAGCTTCTGAACGGAGTCGCTTTAGTTTTAGTGAAACAACTGGGGAAAACGCTTTGGTTCGGTTGGTGAGTGCGACCAAAAGAAGAGAAACGGTAAAATCACAACCCAGACGAGATTGGCAATCATTACAGTAACAATTTACAACGGCTTCCTCAGAAAGAAGCGCCAAGCGGCCGAGACGAAGCTCCGCTGAAGACGGATTCAACAGGAAGGCCCTGAGAAATCAAACCTCTTCCTCTCGGCACTCGTCGCTGGCGGTCTGAAGGGCGTCTGGGACGTGAGAAATCAAACGGCTCAGTGTGTGTTGACTCCAAAGGTCGGAAATGGTCGAGTTTCCCAAGTTGTTTTGAAACCTAGACGAGCTGTTCCCGGCCCAAACGGGAAGTAAAAAGCAAAGTTCATCGGCGTTCGGTGCTTGTTCATTTCCCCAGGCCGATCTTCTTGGCTTCGGTTTCGTAAATCAATAACCTCCACATTTTAACTATGAAGACCTCGGCCTCTTCGTCCAGCACCTGAGGAGACGAAGATGAAGAGTTCAGATGCTGTAGCTGTGGAAATACAACTTCAAAATCGGTGCAAAAGACCAAACTTACCATCGCAACATCATCCAAGATGCCTTGAGGTGTGCTGTGGGCCATTACCTGAGAACAAACAGAGATTGCTACTGAGATTTAAATCTATTACAGCATTTAATGAGTACGCCCTGAATTAAAAGTGTTATTTGTTATTCAGAAAAAATGTGAATAAATATTCAAATACAGTATTCAAATAAATTATTTCATTATAAATTGATCAAACAAATGGATAAATATATTAAAATATTCAAAAAAAAATTTTTTTTACTTTATTCATTAATAAAAAATAAAATATTATTTGAATTGTTTCATTATTTTTTGTTAATTTTATTCATATAAAATAACATGACAAAATTAATAAAAATACTAGTTTTTGATAATTTTCTTTTACAAAATTAATAAAAATAATAATTTAAACATGATTTGAATGTCAATTCATTTGTCAATTTATAAAATTAATTGACTATTTTTGTTTAATACATTTTTTTAAATTATTTAAAAAAAAATAATGAAATAATTTATTTAAATAGATTTGTCCATTTCTTTTTTATTAATAAAAAAAAGTTTTTAAAAATCATTTATATCAGCGCTCAGCCTCGAATGAAGAAACCTGATAAAACGTCTAACCTTGGTGCAAACAAAGTCAACTAATGTGGCTTCCTCTTCACCAATGTACTCTACGATCTTCTTATTGATCCACGGTCGAATACGCTTCTCCATAAGGGTCTGTGAATATTCAGTAACATGAGTTATACATTAAACACAGCTCAAGAATTAAGAAGAAAAACCCACAAACATTATTATTAATACAATTTTCTTTTGTGTTTTAATTTTAACAGTAAACTGTTGCACTCCACTTTGATTACCAAAAAAATGTAAGGAATTGTTCCATTTTCATTTGATTACACACACAAAAAAATCATTTAGAAGTTGTTTTATGCCTTATGATTACCAGTTTTTGATAATATTATATATTTGATAATTAGATAAAAATTGTAAATTCAGGAAAACTACGAGACAACATAGAATTTCTGAAAAAATAAAAGATTTCATAGAGCCCTATTATATATACAAAAAAGTTAACTATTAAGCTGTTAAAGATTTATAAATTCAATTGATTAGACACGGCTATTTGATAATTAAAAAATATTTTTTTTAGGGACCTAAAACTTCAAAATGATTGAAACTTTAAAACTTCTAAAACCTGTTAAACTTTTAATAAACTGAATTTTTTTTATAAAATGTTGTTAAATTGTATAATTTTCATAGGGTCTTATTATTGTTATAATTTTAATAAAATATTAAAGGGTTAGTTCACCCAAAAATGAAATTGGTCCACGTTTCACTCGCCCTCGAGATCTGAAAGAAGAAAGTCACATACACCTAGGATGCCTTGAGGGCGAGTAAAACATGGGCTAATTTCATTTTTGGGTGAACTAACCCTTTACGTTGTTGAAGTCTTATGAACTCAATTAACTATGCATGATTTTTAATTACTAAAATTAGAAAAATTACACTGTTGGTAAATTGTAAAATTTACTAACATTATTTAATTATTAAAACAAAATACAGAAAAAAATAAAACCGAATATGGGAAAATATAAAACAGAACTAAAATAAAAAAGTGGATTAATGAGGTGGATTTGCGAGGGCTCTGGAGCGCCACTCTCACCGTGTCGACGACGGACCAGTCGAGAGGGTAGTTGAAGAGCTCTGGTTTAGCCGTGGGGATCTTCTCGATCAGACTCTTGATGTGTTTGCGCTTCTCTTCTGTATTGACTCCTTTGCCGCCGGCTGCCGCGCTCACATCTGCTCCCTTCTCCTCATCCTCGTAGTCTAAAGGCACCAGCTTCCTCTTCCGAGGCGCCTCGTCCACTTCGTCGTCATCAAAGCGGTTGAAGACGCTCTCCACCGCCAGCTTCTTCCGCTTGGCTACGCTGGGCTGTCCTGGGCTACCGGCTGAACCTTGTGACGGGATAAAGACAAACGTTTCCTACTGAAAACTGAGCCAAATATCACTAAGAACCAATTTTATTTCTTATATGATATATATTGTTATATAAATATTTATTTGTCATTACATAATGAAAATAAAATTATTCATTTAAATGCTATACTTCTATTTATTTACATTAATAAAAAATAATGAAAAAATAATAATGTCTTTTTTTTTTTTTTAAATACAATAGTTGAATATTTATCCATTTATTTTTTATTAATAAAAAAATAAGAATTTGTTTAGATAGTATATTTGCATACATCTACGAATTTAGATTTCATAAAAATAAATTTAAAAAATAAATACTATACTTGCATATATTTATCTTTTTAATTTTCAATAGAAAAAATACATTAAAATAACTCATTTAAATACTATATTTTAATATATATATATCAATGTATTTTTCATTTATAAAATAAATGTATAAAAAATAATTTTATTTATATAATTAAATTTATAAATATAAAATTTGTATTAATAATTGATCATTTATTATTTTAATTTTCATTAATAATTTAAATACCAAATTTAAATAGATTTATAGTTATTCTTAATGAACGAATAACTATAAATCTATTTAAATTTGGTATTTAAATTAATGAAAATTAAAATAATAAATGATCAATTATTAATACAAATTTTATATTTATAAATTTAATTATATAAATAAAATTATTTTTTATACATTTATTTTATAAATGAAAAATACATTGATATATATATATTAAAATATAGTATTTAAATGAGTTATTTTAATGTATTTTTTCTATTGAAAATTAAAAAGATAAATATATGCAAGTATAGTATTTATTTTTTAAATTTATTTTTATATATATATATATATATATATATATATATATATATATATATATATACACACACTATAATATTTATCAATTTATTTTTCATAAAAAATTATTTTAAAAAGGAAGATAAAATAATTCCTTTTGGATATATTAATAACTTTAATTTTTATGAGAAAAATAAATAAAAAGAATTCCTCAAAAATACCATATTTAAACATATTAATTTATTTTTCATTAATTTATAAAAAAAATATTAAAAATTAATTCATTTAAATATTATACTTGAATATATTTATCATTTTAATTTTGAATATATTTTAAATTTATATTTTTCATTTGATTAAAATATATTTAAATGCTTCAAGTGCAATTAAATAAATGAATATGAATATTTGAAGTATATTTGCAAAACAGAAGAGAGAGTAACTCAACTCGATTGTGCGATTGTATTTGTTATTGGCCATAACATCCTGATTGGAAACCTGTCTCAACTCAAACTCACCTAGTTTGAGGCTGAGGCCGATCTTGGGCCGGTTCTCCTCCTGGAGCGGGATCTCGGGCGGAGAGTTCTCATGAGGGATGATGATGCCGCAGGGCGACTCTTCTCCGGGCGTGTCGGGCGTGGCGTTTCCGCTGGCTGAGGACACTGAGGGGGCGGCCACGATGGGCCGCATGGTGGGTTTGAGGCAGGGTTTCACCTCCTCTTCGTCCTCTAGCTCCTCCCCTTCCTCTACATCATCGTCAGAGGGGACATGAGACTTGCGCCGCTCTCTCTCCCGGCCTCGGTCGCGCTCTTCTCGAGAGGGCTTGTGCTCTCTCTCCTCCTCGGGCTCGGGCTTCACGGGCGGCTGCCGCAAACGCTCTGCCTCTTCCTCCATCTGACGAACACAAAAGCAGAAGATGTGAAACAGAAGAGCGCAAAACACTGAGCACTTTGCTTCCGGGAGTACTAAGGTTTTAAGCCACGAAACACCGCTCAGCACTGAGATTAATCACAATACACACTTTCATTTAAAACAAGTATTCGAAAAACAGAAGACAAAAACAGTCCCATGACACACTGCAAATGAGATAAGCGAGAAAAAAAAATGTATAATAATAAAATACTGACTCAGTTATTATGAATAAAATATATATAAAAATTAATAATGTTAATGAAATACAATTATTTAAATAATAAAATTTAAATATTAGATTTACCAATTTATTTTTCATTCATTAAAATAATTAAGATTCATTTAAATACTACACTTGATTAAAAAAATTATAATTAGTAACAAATGACTAATAATTTAAATCAAATATTACTCATTTAAATACAATATGAATATTTTTATAATTTATAAAGCAATTAATAAAATTGAAACGCTATACTTGAATATTAAATTTTTCATTAATAACAAATGATTAATAAAATAATTAAGGAAATATTGTAACTCATTTCAACACTTCACTTGAATATATTTAATTTATTATTCAATAATACAAAATAAAAAAAAAATAATGAAAATATAATTCCTTTAAATACTACACTTGAATATATTTAATATTCTATTTATATTTAT